GTGTCGGCTCAAAAGCCCCTTTTTTTTCCCCGATATAGGCGCTTGGTGTGAATGGGAAAAGCGGGTCGTTACCTCTCTGTCAGATGCCATTTCCAAACCTGATAAACCTCATTTAGGAGAAGGAGATGTGTTTGCGAAGTAAACTGGGCCTACAGGAAAGGTGGGGAGGGACTCTTCACCAGGGAGTGCAGTGACAGGACGAGGGGTAACGGTTTCAAACTGAAAGAGGGGAGATTTAGATCAGATATTAGGGAGAAACTCTTCACTGTGAGGGTGGTGAGGCACTGGCACAGCTTGCCCAGAGAAGCTGTGGCTGCCCCCGCCCTGGCAGTGTTCAAGGCCAGGCTGGATGGGACTTTGAGCAACCTGGTCTAGTGGAAGGGGGGTTGGAGCTAGATGACCTTTAAGGTCCCTTCCAGCCCAAACCACTCTGTGATTCTAAGTAAAAAAAAAAAAACTGAAATTGAGAACTTCAGTTACAGGTTTTCTATGTCTGTCAGGAGAAACCTCCCACTCTTGCAGGTGAAAGAAGGAAACTGGAGTAAAAATGAGCGGGAAATAGCTGAAAAGAAGAGTTCTAGAGGATTTGATGCCTACTGCATATTCTAATGGCTCTAACCATTCTTCTTATGCAGATCACATATTTGAAAAAGTAAATCCTGAGATGGAAAAGCTGGGATATGAGTGCAAATGCCTTGGAGGAGGGAAAATTGACCATAATAGTAAAGACAAGAAAATTAGAGTATTTGGGCTCTCTACAGTAAGTGCATCTCTTGTATTCCTTCAAATCCTTTCATCTCTGATGTTCTGGGATTTTTCTTCTGTAGTATGGTGACTTTCAGAAATTTGAATCACAGTGTAAACTTTAACTGGAAAACTTGTCTGGCTAACTTGTGAGAGAGATTAGAAAAACACTTTCTCTCTCTCTCTCTCTCTCTCTCTAATATATATATATAATTTTTTTTTTAAGGGCAGGAGACCAAAGCAAAAATAATTAGATAACTTAATGCTCATATTATTCCACGTTAAGTTATAATCAAGACTAAAAATGGAAGTTAGCATCTCTTGACTCAGAATCTTTTTGTCTTACTGCCAGAGCAGGAATAACCTGCAGGGTCCTGATCCAGCTGTATTGTGAGCTTTATTTGCCAATAAAAATGTTGGTAGATGACCAGCTAAATTGTGATTGTGGTTCTGTGTATGTGTTGAGTGAGAAGAGTAGAACCAGTGTAGGTGTGGTGAATTTCTAGTAGGTAAAGATGTAGTTTCACATAAATGCATTTTGTGGGAATAAAAGAAACTTCCAAGAATACGGAAACTAGAGCATTTTTGTTACCCGTTACTGTTCTGTGTAAGTTCGATTGCTTTATGAAAGACTCGGTAAGTGGTAATGATTTCTTGAATTTAGGGAACATGCTGCAGTCTGTTTCTGTTGTTGCTCTGTGTTGAAGCATAACTGCTTCTGTAGTAATACTGTGAGTAAAGATTCTAGGCTTCTAATGTAACAGGAAGAAAATAGTTCTATTAAGTTCATTTAATTTTTTTATAGAAAGTGATGATTACTTCAAACCTGCTCACCTTAGGTTGAGCCTTGAATGTGTTAACTGTTTTTAAATGTTAGTGCTGCTTTTGTTCCAAGATTACTCTTGCCACTCGGAATCATAAAAAAGAAAAAAAAAGAAAGAAAGAAAAAAAAGAACAACTCTTTAGGATTTGTGTGAGGTGGGCAGGCAGCGTATGATGCTTATTCTACTAAATTCTTGTGATGCAGGTCCTCGTCATAACTGCATTTGTAGATGAGGTTTGACACCTGTATTATTAATTCAGCTGCCAGTTTAGTGTTAGAGGCAGTGGTCAGCTCTTGCTCCTGTAATGCAATGACTATGGAAAAAGCCTTGTTTCTCTGCTTTTGGTACCTTGATGCTTACAGATGAGCACCGTGTAAAAGCAGAGTTTTATTTCTGACAGGCTTCTGTCAGGCAGAGACCTGGAGGTTCAGAAACCTCAGTGGCAGGTCAGCAGTTAGTGTGTTAATTAAATTGGTTTAATGCTTCTCTTTAAGATTTGTTGTCAGACTCTAAACCAGAACTGTCTTGGTGTTTTATGAAAACCGGGGGAATAGTCATTGATTTCTTTTAAAGTAGATGCTGCGCTATTATTTGCAAAGCTGGATGGGGTCTTCAAAGCCATTACCAAGGCAAGAGTGATCTGCAGGTCTGCTGCTTTACAACTCACAGTATAAACCTGCAGGATTTTTGACATATTAGCTGGTATTTTTGAAAAGTTTGCATTTTATAATGCACCATGCAGTTTCACATGAAATATTACTGGAAAAAGAAAGTAACCTGTAAAACACAGGTTTTTAATCAGTAGACTGTACTGATGCGCAGCAAAGCCTTTTTGACAGGGAAAAACTTACTTGTAGTTCTGAAATAAGAAATGAAGATAACTACAGTCATGTAAGACAATAATCAAAAAGCACCTTCTACCACAACTGTCTTAAATTTCAGTGAAAGAGTAACACTGTGATCAGTGATTTAAATGAGTGTTAAAACTCATGTGGGTTATCTGACCTTGGAGTTGCAGTGGCTGAAGAGCACAGATATTTAAAAATATGCCATTACCAGTGAAGGCAAGATTGCAAATAAATAGAACATGAAGACTGAGTTTTCTTTAGTGACTGGAATAGTACTCGGATGTTCACACATGTGGTGGCTTATTCCCTTTTCCTTCAGCTGAGTCAAATCAGTTGTTTCTATGCTTATACATTAAAGAGGGTCAATGCAATCTCTGTGGTTAAAAGAATATTCAATAAATAGCATGGCTGAGGGGTTGGGAACATTTCAGAACAAGCTTTCTGCGGGAGAAATCACAATGTGAAAAATGCATCCTCTATTACTTAATACTGCTTGGCCCCATCTCATGTATTTTCTACAGCTGGGGTTGGGGGAGTAATTGAAGAGGAGAACAGAAAAATAAAACAGGATAATGCAAGAATAACTCTTTTGGAACCTATATTTGATTTGTATGTGAACTACTTGAAGTACCAAATCATAACCAGGTAATTTGTGTTGACAAGAACCGAATGGTTCTGTGGCCTTTCTGCACATGTCTAACAAACCCTTGTTCTTTCTTGCAGGGCTATGGAAAAGCAGATCATTCGGTGACTGCAGAGATATTGAAAAAAGTGTATACAGATTATGAAATTACATGGTCAGATGACAAGAAATAAATCAGCTACTTATGAACACAACAAGCAGTTCAAAACTGGTAACTCTGGGAGCTGTACTTTGATAAATAAAATTGAATGTGTCTTCTGTGTGTGTTACCAGAAATCTGGACTAACTGGACTCTGCTGTAATTTATAATGCAGTTGGTAATCCCCAGATATATCCTGTTTTTCAGATGATTTGTTTGTGCAGAATCTGCAGTTCTCAGCTTTTATCCTCTCCTTTATACCTGCCATCTAATTAAACACTCCCACGTCATCTTACCTCCAGTTTGTTTTCATCCAATCCTGTCTCACTGCTATATTCTAGGATACATCAAGATTTTGCCATCAGCTTAAACACCACAGGACCAAACCTGTTCCCTGGTCTTCTGACCACAGTTTTTTCTGTTTCCTTTATTTTCTATTGCTCATTAGGTTTTTCTTACCCACACTTACAAAAATTGGGGGGGGGGTTGACTGTTACAGTTCACCAATGATCTAAATCTTCAATTTACTCCATGGTTTTGAAAATCCAGTATTTGTGTTCCTTACAAGTAATGATCAAGATCTTTTGTGTTCCTGTAAGAACTTTCCCTATAGCAGACTAATGGCACTGTCAAATTCTGACTTGTTTCATTCCAATTCCCCTGTACTACTTTTATTCCCTGTGAGTATAATGACGCTTTTTCCTTTTTTTTTTTTTTAATAGCAATAATTATCTTGTTAACTACCTCCCCGCCAGACTCAGTACCCCTAGGCAGTGTCTGAATTAACTTACAGCACCTGCTTTCTTCTGTTGTGGCGGGACGTTGCCCTTCATTTGTGGTGAAGTTACTTGCTACAATTCTCACTCTTTTGTGTCCTGCCAGTCTTCTCTTGAATGCTGTTGTGGATTTCAAGGCAGTACCTTTTGTGGTTATGCTTACATTGCCGACTTGCAGTCTTCAGGAGGTATTTGTATATAAATCCTGGTTCTTCCCTTTGCTGTGGTTCCTACCCCACTTATCTACCAGTATCTGGTAGTATACGGTGGCTTCTTCTTTTCAGTGTGCATGTGACTCTTCAAGTACAAACAGTATGAAATTTGAGAGGCTTTAGTCCAGTTTCTATCATACAAAAATCCTGCTGTTATTGCCTTATTACACTAATTATGCATGTTATGTCACTCTTGTGTCTCTTTGTTTTGATTGGTTGGGCAAAGAGGGATTTCCTCTTCTCATCCTCAGACGTTTCAGTCCATTCCTCATTAGAAGAGTTCCAGGTATCTCCATCCCAGTAATCACCAGGGAGCAGGATCTCTTGAACCTGGTGCTGCAGGTCTCTTCGTTGGCACCTGCTTCCCCCCCATGCAGCCAGGCCTTTCCCCTCCAGCGCCTCTATGCGCTTTTGCATCTGCTGGTTGTGCTTTTCTTTCTGCTCTTGTGCAAGAGTCGTCTGGCTGCACCACTTCAAACACCACAACAACATTGATTGCAGGTTTGATTTCTCTCAACAAGGACTTGATTTCAGAATGTGATTAAATGCCTGTGTACCTAGTAACCAAGAATAGCATATGAGTCAGTAATTTGCAAATTGGGCACTTCCTACTTTAATTTTCCTCATGGGTCTTTTCCCCTAAGCTTTAGTAAAGTAACTGTAACGGATGCCATTTAATTGGTGCCAGTATACAAAACTTTTTTTTTTTTTTTTTTTTAATAGCCTCATTTCCCAAAACTAGCAAATAGTCTTCAAGGGGAAGTCAACAGTTAAGGGTAGTGCCTGGTAAAACAAACAAGCTTTTTACTTTAGTTTCCTGAGATGTTTTATGACTGATTTTAATGTTTCCACAATAGTTACGGGAAAGACATAATTTAGACCGGATTTCTTATTGTGATGACTCTTCCAAAAAGCAGGGGGATGGGGCAAGGTGATGATTTGGAATGAGCTGATAAATTGAGTTACCAGCTGACCTAGCTATTAGGTAATATATACAAGTATTACGAGTGAGTGAAAGATTTTTATTCCAGGTCATGAAGAGAAGCAGGAAACTAGTCACTAGGGTGGTGATGATATGTCAGGTAGAGAAAGCCTTAATGTAGATTAGGGAAACTAGCATTATTTGATGTTGAAACACCAACAGAACGCCCAGCCTCCAAAACTAAGTGTTGAATTCTGCTTTCCCTCAGCATGTATCTGCTGAATTTTAAGAACAGAATAGAACTCATCTGAAATTATGGAAATCCCAATGCTAATATTGCTGATTTCACTGAAGAAAAACATCCTTTATTATGTCTCATCTGTAATTCTGAAATGGGAACTTAATTATACTGTGTGGGGTTTCCTGTTTTGCAGGTGTGCAATCACTGTGTCATTGTTGCTCTAGCAGTCTTTACTTCAAAGTCCTAAAAAATCTGATTCTATATTTGCCCAAAACCAGAGCTACCTTGAGCAATCCAAGAATAAAAGGAGGATGCTCAGCAAAGCAGTAGTATATTAAAAATAAGACAGTGAGTTTGATGGTGAAATATTTTCAAGAGGAAGCATTACGGTAGAAGATTTTAAGTGCCGCCTTTATTCATCAAAAAATAAATGAGATTCTTGTTTTTAACCATATTCATTGTCATACTGGTCAACATTTCTTATTACTTCAGGTACCGTTCTCTCAAACAGCACTAGACCTAGCAGGTGCAGAACAAGCTATTCAGTCACTATGCACAAGCCATGATTTGCCTTACAACTGAGGTTTGAAAAACGGCAAGTGGTAGTCACTTTGTTTCCAACTTCTCTGGTATGACAAAAAAAACCCCAACCTGTTAGCGGTACTTTATTGATCTGCCAAAGCTAACGCTTCCTTTTGTTCCTCAATCTGCAGTCAGCGGTTGCCTATCATCAGTAAGTTTCAGGAGATGATGCAGAAAAATCCCAAAGCGCAATCACAGCCATGGCACCACCGACTGCTCTTCTGTCTCTGAGAGGAAATTCAGTGGTTCCCGAAGCATCCCTTTGAAATAGTCTACTTACCATTGGTTTTGAAACAACAGTAGTTGTTAAGGTGCTTCTGCTAAGTACAGGAAATCCTCTATGACTGTCCTAATAGCAACAAAATAGTCAAAAAAATGGAATCTTGCAGCTGACTTTCATAGCTTTCAATGACGGGAACCTTACATGATAATTACAGTGATTTAGGTCACTGCTGTAGAGTAAGTTTCTTTCCATCCCCTCGGACTATTGTCCTTTCTCCCCTACATTGAGCAGCCTTGCATCCAGTTTACTGCAATGGTTGACTGTCTCCAAGTTTATATTTCTGCAAGGGCACCCATGAATTACTGCTGCGTAAAGCAGTGCATGGTGATAAGCAGTAGCTTTACTGTACCTGTTAAGCGTTGTGTAATAGCTGTTTGCCCAGTTTAAGACAAAACATGCAATGGATTTTTTTGTGTGTGAATTGTTGGTGATATCAAGCACTCAGGACCAGGTTTTGTAGTTCTTTGTGTTTGTTTGCATTTTTGGGAAGGTAATTTCTTCAGCAACGTCACTATCTTCAGCTAGGAGTGACTTGTACACAGGCTTTTCTGAACACTTGCTGCCCTGCCAAACTGCTGAAAAGCCTGAAGAGGTGTGAGTGTTCAGTAGTACCCCCCGGCAAGCTTTGAAAATGGGTCACAGTGTACAGGCAGTTAATTTCTGGAAAATCTTGTAAAAAAAAACCCCAAAACACTACAGCAATCTAGTTACCAGTCTGCTGTAATAGCGCAGTTTATCTCCTTTCCAGCTTGTCACCTAAAGCTCAGTTCTGTCATCCTCCAGTCTCCTGGATTGCACTTGTAGGTTCATTGGTTGGTTGTTTTAAGGAACTTGTGTAAAATTTTCTTTCAACTCAGCTTGTAAAACAGCTGAGTTTTATTCATTTCTAAATGCTAGAAAGGTTTTATTCATTTCTAAAACCAGGATGGCTTTTCCCAATTACTTGCTCAGATTTTCTTGAGTGAGTGGTATGTCAAAATCTGAATGTGCAAATCTACGGAGCACACTAGTAAATGTGCTCTGGTACACTTGTTCAAAGGCTTCAACACAAGTCATGTGTGCTTTTCATATGGAAACGTTACAAAGATTTCTGCAGAACGGAACGCAAGGGATAAACACGATCGCACCCCCCTCTGGTGGCAAAGCAGCAGAGCACACGCTATGCAGGCGATTGCGAAACCGTGGTCTCCTTCAGGCCGCGCTCAGCAGCTCTCCCGTGACCTACAGCTGTGGCACTGCCAGAGCGTGAGAGGGGGCCGGGGACAGTGACTTGCTTCATTTTTAAATACATATAAATGACAATTAGTTAGCATGAACAGATGGTGGTTTAAGCAGAACTCCATTTTTCTATGCAAAACCAGATGAGTCCTTCACTTCTAGTCAGACATCAGAATTCGTCAAACATTTCAGTAACGAGCATCCTTAATTAGTCAAATCAGAATGACCCAACAGAGGAAAAAGCAAAGAGATAAGAGGATTAAAAGATTTAATCTTTAAGGTATTTTTGAAGGACCAGTGGTTGAATTTTAACTGGAATCTTTAAAGGCCATTTCCATAATACATCGTTGCAGTCCTTTATCAATTGTTTTAACTATGCTGGTCCTAAACACATTTCTGTCTTCAACGAATTTCTCAAAGAGGTAGATACCACCGCCAACCCCAAAATAATGTACTTTGCTTGCCAAATACACACGGCCATTTTTATCCAGGAGCTGCACCAGTGTATCATGCAAAGCACTGTAGTAGTCAGGATTATAGATGGTCTCAGATGTGAGAATTAGATCATACTTTGCAAAGGGTTTACTGCTGCTTAACAGGAGCTGGCTGACTTCAGACCACTCCCCAGAAAAAAATCTGCATCTGGTGAGCGCATCAGGTAAGCACTCTGCTTTCTTGGGCCTCTTCGAAGGAGGCTTGCTAGTTTTTCTGCCATCTCCGCTGCCCGTCCTACTGCCTTCACTTACACAGTTGGCCACTGCATTAGGCAAGGTTATTTTGTCAATCACTGTGCTGTTGTAGTCCTGAAAATGGACTTTTTCAGCTTTACCCTTTAAAGCAACTATTCCCAGCAGTCCAGCCCCGCAGCCAAGATCCAATACAGTCTTGTTGGTAAACCGTATTTTGGCCTCGGAAAAGTAGTCGATGAGATCAAAGGTGCATTCCCAGATTTTCAGCCCTCCCTCATAGACTCCTGGGATGAGATCGGAGTGAGAAGAAACACTTTTAGACACGATGCCTTCTTCATCAGTGCCATCCAAACATGTCATCTCCACTAGAGACATCTTCATGTAATACAGGTCAGAAACTGTTTCCATGACTTTATTTTCTAATACTTTGCTGAGATCTTCAGGTACGTTGTGCTCCTTAGCAGCTTTAAAGCAGAACTTTTTCTTTGATGGCATCTCATCTTGGTGCTTGTCGGTACCCGGCCTGGGGCTGGAGTCTGCTATGGTATCAGCAGTTTGCTTGTCCTTTTCTATCGATTCCTGCTTGTGTTTCGGAGAGCAGAGCTGTAAGTCCGTCTTATGAGTGTCTGGTTCATTGTTCTCACTTTCATCAATAAAAAAATTAAATCGAAAAGCCATTTTCAGAAATAACAGTAAAGAAAAAAAAATCAGCTTAATTTATTACAGTCAGAAGCACTCATCCAAGTGCAATACTGATACAAAGATAGGGGTTTTTCTTCTGTTTTTTTTTGTAGATGATGTTTTTATGTAGTTATCACTATGGGGAAGAGCGACACACAGGCCGAATGTCAGATGTTTTGCCAATGAATCAGGTGAGTTACTTCTAGAAGTAAGAGTAAACAGTTTTACTTATCATTAAACTGCCAAATATCAGCACAAACAAACCGTCTAATTGTAGCACCTTCATTTCATTTTTTTTGAAAAAGCGTCCCAAACATTTAAATTTACGAAGAGACAGCGTTACGAGTGACGGCCCCTCTCACGTCACGTAGGTACACGCAGGGAAATTAGCGCAGCTGCTTCTTCACACTCAGCGGCGCAAAACCAGCGCGCACGGACTGTTACGGCCCAGCTTCCCCCCCGCCCCCCGGCTGAAGCACGCAGGCCGGGCAAGGGGACCCGGTCCCGGTTTACCCACCCCGTTTCCACCGGTTGCTGGACGCGATCGCTCACCGGTTTTCCCACGATGAGCT